GGCAAAAGTTGGAAGCACTCAAGAGTACCCTTTTTCACCACTCCTATTCAAAATAGCATTGGAAGTCCTGACCAGAGCAATCAGGCAAAAGAAAGAAATAAAGCCATCTAAATAGAAAGAGAGGAAATCAGATTAACCCTGTTTGTGAACAACATGATTCTATATCTAGAAAACCCCATAGTCTTGGCCCAAAATCTCCTTAAGCTGATAAACAACTTCAGCAAAGTCTCAAGATACAAAATCAACACACAAACATCAACAAAGTAAACAGACAAAATGCGACAAAATTTTGGCAAACCATGCCTCTGACAAAGATCTAATATCCAGCTTCTATAAGGAACTTAAATCTACAAAACAAAACAAAACCTAAAAAACCAATCCCATTAAGAAGTGGCCAAAGGACATGAAGAACAGACACTTTTCAAAAGAAGACATACATGTGGCCAACAAGCATATAAAAAAACCTCAACATCATTGATTGTTGGAGAAATGCAAATCAAAACCACAGTGAGATATCTTCTCCTCTACTCAGAATGGCTACTATTAAAAAGTCAAAAAATGACAGGGTGCAGTGGCTTACACCTGTAACCCCAGCACTTTAGGAGGCCGAGGTGCTGCAATGAACATACACATGCATGTATCATTATGATAGAATGATTTATATTCATTTGGGTATATACCCAGTAACAGGATTGCTGGGTCAAATGGTAATTCTGTTTTTATGTCTTTAAGGAATCACTACGCCGTTTTCCACAATAGTAGAACTAATTTACATTCCCACCAACAGTGTACCAGCCTTCCTTTCCTCTGCAATCTTGGCGGCACCTGTTATTTTTAAACTATTTTTTGTTGGTGTTTTTTTGAGAGGGAGTCTCATTCTGTTGCCCAGGCTGCAGTGCAGTGACTTGATCTCAGCTCACTGCAACCTCCACCTCTCAGGTTCAAGCAATTCTCCTGCCTCAGCCTCCTGAGTAGCTGGGATTACGGGCATGCGCCACCACAGCTGGCTAATTTTTTATTTGTTTAGTAGAGATTGAGTTTCATTATGTTGGCCAGGCTGGTCTTGATCTAACCTCTGATTTCTTTGAGCAGTGTTTTGTAGTTCTCTTTGTAGAGATCTTTTACCTCCTTGGTTAGCTGTTTCCTAAATATTTTATTCTTTTTGTGGCAATTGTGAATGGGATTGCATTTCTCATTTGGCTCTTAGCTTGATGTACAGGAACACTAGTGATGTTAGCTCCATGGTCACCTGCTGTATGGTACACCCCAGGAGACCACAGACATGGACTGAGAGAGGGGAGGCAATGTAGCAGGAGTTGGTGTCAGAGGAATCTGAGTCACTTACTCAGGCTACTTGCTGCACCTTCAGACTTGCCTGAGATCAGCTTCACACATCATTTCCATGTGATGGCATACTGCTGCTACACACACCCAGCGTTACGGCCAGCGGGATCAGAGAGCACTTAGGCTACATGGTCTCCTGACAGCCCATGGTTATGGCCCAATGTCAAGCCAGATGCTGATTCTCAAAATGGATTACTTAGCTGCCAAAGAGGACATGGACTTAGTCAGAATCCCAGGGCCTATGCTGCAGTTCGCCTGTGTGTGCTTGTCAGAGGGTCCACACTGCATTTCAGTGTGCCACAGACACCTCAAATATCACTGGATCCACCGACTCCTACGGGCAAAGTGGTAAAGCAGCTTGCATTACAGCCTAAACTTTCTCTGACCGCCATTCAAAACTGCCAAAGTCATAGGCTGAAAGTAGCACATGCAAATATAATATGTGTTGTACCTAAAGTCCCCAAAGCCCAGCTAAATATTGTGCTTCCTTTTCACAATAGGTGTTGCAAAATACATCAACTTGTCTTTCACTTGGAGGGGATATTTCAACAGATTCCACACCTTTGAACCTGCTAGAACCTCTACCTCCACTGAGGTGGAGAGCCCCTAAATTTTGTGGGGATTTTCTCCCACTTTTGCTTTCTGTTTATCAGATTCGATAAGCATGACATCATCATTAGTGGACTAGTGTAATGTTTCGTGAACTGACAAGATGACTGGATCTCTGCAGACAGTAGGATTAAATACAGCAGAACTCACATGTCCTTCAGGCAACACTGTGAGTGTACAATGTTGCCCCTGCCAGGTAAAAGTAAACTGCTTCTGGTGGTCCTTGCAAGTTGGTTTGAGAAAAAAGCATTAGTAGGATCAGTAGCCCCATACAAAATGCCAGAGAATATGTTGGTTTTCTCCAGTAGAGATTTCTCATCTGGCACAGCAGCTGTGATTGAAGTCACCGGCTGATTACATTTGCAGCAGTCCATATTCTTCATAATCCGTATCGTTAGGGAAGCAAGAGCTTAGGGGAGTCAGAGTAATCCACTTTAAATTCTGCTGCATCTTGGGATTAACAAGGCACATTCCTTGCCAGTTGCAACCCACAGACCTAAGATGTTCATAGCTGAGGAAACAGCTGAACGATACCTGCAAGGATTCACTGCTACAACACCGAGCGCAGATGTCCCAATGCCCAAACAGTGTGTGCTTTCCAGATAATAAGAGTTATGCTTTACACACACACTAAAATCTTAAGGACAGTTTTCTTTAAATCAACAGAATAATCAATTTTGCCATGCTGTCTGCTCAACGGCATATAGTCACAGCTTAGTTTAATCTTTACATAGACAAAACCCCTATATAATAAAAACTTAAAGGACGGCCCATTCCTCTGCTTGCTTTCTGAGGATGCCCTATTCTGTAATGGAATGTAAGAGAGTTCAATAAACTATCTCTTCTCACTTCATTCTGCAGCTCTCCTTGAATTCCTTCCTGCGTGAGATCCAAGAACCCTCTCTTTGGGTCTGGATGGAGACCCCTTTTTCTGGTAACAATTTGAGTTTTGCACGGGCCAAAGTGGCCGGTTAATGGGTTTGTAGGCAGTGTCACAGCCCCTGCTTATTTCAGCTCTTCAATGGCGTTTACCTCCAAAGCTCTCTCAGGGATTCAGTATTTCTAGATAAGAAGGGGGGGTTCTGGGGACTCTCACCAAACTTCTCCTACCATCATGATCCTCATCTCATACGTGAGAGAGCCAGCGAGGGGATTTAGCCAGTGTGTGCTTGTTTCTATTATACAACCAGGAACTGAAAAACACACCACAGGGAGAACAGGGCACCAAGTGGGCCCCTGCGAGTTGGTCTTGAGTTAGAGCCTCTATCAAGTGAAGACCTGTCCACTGCAAGCTCCTACTTTGGCTGCTGAGCCACATTTCTGGTTCCCCGGAATTCATGTCAATTGAGGCAGTCCCTGAGACGTCTAGGTTATTTCCTTTCCATGACTCGATGGCTGCAGGACATGTCAGAAAGGGTGTAGAGGAGGATTTGTGGTGTATACTCCTGGCGCCAGTGCAGATTCTTTCTTGGGACCTTGGCTTTTCCTTTCTATCAAGATGCTCTGGGTCTGACCCAACGTAGGTCTGGGAACTTGGAGAGAGCCCATGATCTCCACTGTAGTGATTCAGGTCGGATTTTGGTGACCTACAGGTTTTCCCGTTGTGTGGATTAAAGGCTACTGTAGCAACTGTCCCTCTCTTGATGCCGAGGAACACTGTGAGCAATTGGCCAAAATCTCTGTGGACCAAGGTGTTTGGAGCAGGGTGGACCCAGTGCATCGCACTTGCCTTCCTGGGAAGCTGCAGTGTGCAGAGGGCAGGTCTGCCTGGATCTTCCTGTGAACACAGTGCCCTAGGCACAGGAGTACAGTCACTGCATGAGTGGATTTCAAACTATCTTTAATCCCTGCAGGAGCAGGCTAAAGCTTTTCCTATGGATTCTGAAGGGTGAATCCAGAATTCAAGTTGCCACTCTGGGGCAGTAGTCAAGGCTTTCAGGAATGGTCCCTCCAACATCTGAGCGAGGAAGGGGCACAGAGCACAGCCGCGCCTTCCTCAGGCTTGGGCAAGCTCCGTGCTTCACAGAGGAAGCCTGTGTCGGATTCTTCAGCAGAAACCACAGCCAGGAATGGTGAAGCTGATGAGCAGCCCAACCACATGGCTCAGGCCCTTCCTCACGGGAGGCTGGGGCAGGCTCAGCCATGTGACACCACAGCTCTCAGCCCTGTGCTATTTCCAGGGCACACTTACGGATGCTGAATGATAGAGAACTTTCTAGATAAAACAGGTGACAGCAAAACAGCCACGTACACAGGTATCTTGTGGGAAACCCTTCCACAACCACTTTGAAACTGGGTTGGGAAGAGGACCTGACGCTGGGTCAGGCATCCTTTGGGAACCACGGACATGTGCGGGGAGTTTGGGCCAATGCTTTTGTGTAATTTGTCAGAAGGAACACCCACTTCTTTCCTCTTGTGAAGAACCCACAAACTGGCCCCTGCACTCAGAGACTCATGTAGGGCACATTGAGGGGACATCTGGATTTCTCCTTCAAGGCTTCGGCAAGGGGCACACCATCCACACGCCTCTGTACAACAGCGTTCGGATAGGGCATCTCTAAGGCGTTGTGCAGCTCTGCCAGTCTGTGACCTTCCACCCTGGGGTGGAGGGCAAGGCCTTGGGATAGAATCCACACATCACGCTAAACAAGGACCTTCCCCTCAAAGAACCACACGTTTTAGTCCCTGCAGACACGGGGCTCAGCAGCATCTCTGAGGCAGCCCTGTTGAACCCAGGGCTGACCACGGAAAAGCACTACTGTTCGCAGAAGCCCATGCCCAGTGGGGCCAGCCATGGAGGCTGGCAGAGGAGAGAAGCTCTAGGGGTCTGTCCATCAGAAGCCAGATCGCAGGCCACTTCTTCTCCTACGCTCAGCCTGTGCTTGGAGGCTTCTTGTTCTTGGCTGTACGTCTGCTTTGTTTGAATCAATTAACCCAAGTCTCTCTCTCTCTCCACCCCCAACCTCGCCTTTAGTGGAACATCAATATTCATGTAACAAATAAATAGCACAAAAAGCTGACTCCCCACTTCCTGCCCCACAGGACCTTTTTCTTCCTCAGCCCGTGTGCAGTCCTGGCTCCTGGCAAGTCCCCGGGCTGCTGGGTCAATGCAGCCCTGTGTGCCAGCCTGGCAGCCTTGCCACCCCCACCCTCGGCCCCCATTGGCTGCCACAGCCTGCAGTGGGCTGCACTGGGTTCATCCGTCCTCCCTGGGCAGAGGGAATAAGAGGTTGCCCTGCGTACCAGTCCTGCCGCCCAGGACCCACCGCAGAGAGGAGGCCTGCAGCAAGGACACGAGGAAGCCTGAGACGAGGAGGAGGTGAGAAAGAGCCAGGCCCAGAGTACGCTCAGGAAGAAACGGTTCTTTTGTGTTGGGTGGAAAAGGGTGGGGGAGGAGGGGTAGAAACTAACTGTTAGCTTAAAAGGCCCCTTTAGGATCATTGGCAGCATTTCAAAAGTGTCAACAGCAGGATGTGCTTTAATCTCCACTTAATTGCTTCTTTGTGGACACCTGACTGCATCAGCCCTAGACAGCCAGAGGTGTGTTTGCCTGTATTTTGCCATAAATCAGAGAAACCTCAGCCCTGGTGGTCCAGAAGTGATTGTTGACATTTTCCCAGCGATACTACAAATACTGCCTCTTCTGTAACGATTTGAAGAGTAAGGTTTTTGCTTCCCACTGGGGCTGAAAATGATAGAGAACCTAATGCTAGTTTAATCCTATATCATAAATAAACGCTTTCCTTTCCTCCTTCTTACTTCTTCCACCGCCCTGGGTAAGTAATTTCGGTTTTCCAGTTTCCCTCAGTTTAAAAAGCCAGGGTCCCGGCAGCCTCAGGACGCCACTCAGAAATTACATAACAATTACAAATAAATTGGGTCAAAGAAAGTGGAGTTTTGGTGAGTTTTAACTTTCCTTAGCCTCACAGTTTCTCAGAGAGGTCGAACCCCTTCTTTAGAGGGATCTTCTAGCAAACATGTCTAAGGAGTTAAAGTTCAAATATTCTCTTGTTCTCAATATTAAAAGATTAACATAGAATGTCCACAGAATGTGAGAAAGAAATGGATATTTATTTCCATTTATCTTACAAGATAAACTATAAACCATCAACTATTTCTTAAGTCAAAGGGAAAAATTTAACAAAAAAATTTTAATTGATTTGTAGTGTGGTTATGAAGAAAACCATATTTTCTAGTGGTTTCTATTAGGGTTCTAATATATGTAATACATGTTTTATGCCTTTCCTTTGTAAAAATCCCATTAGTCATAATTCATAGAAAAACAGTTTAACCTCCTTTTCCCTAAATCATTACCGACTTTGAGGAGCATCAGAATGATGCAAAAGTGTCTTTTGTTTTGTGTGGTTTTTAAAAAATACACACACACACACACACACCCCCCCAATAACTGAACACTTGAGTGCAAAGAATAAGAAAACATGAAATGCTAAAAAATTTTAATCCCTCTTAATTGTTCTATTTGTAAAGTATCAAATTTTTAGGAACTTAAGAGCAAAACAAAGTACACTGATTATTAATACAATGACTTTAGCAAAGATCTGGCCAGTATAAAAAAAAATCTCCAGTCCTGTTTCCTTTGCAGGATCAGAAATAAATAAAATTTTAAACATCTAATTCCAAATTATTTTTAAGATGTAAGTGATATATTCAACATAGGATGAATTTTCCATAATATTTGATTTATTAATTTATTTTTAGTTATGACAGTGCAAATGTTCTTACTTAATGATTAGAATCCGAGGCCAAAAGCTGGTGAATTTCTCTGCCTGCATGTCTGTTCTGTGAAACAACTGACGCGGCATCCTTTGTAAAACGCGCCCCATTCCCAGACTGACCAGGTATTTCCCTGGTTTGTAGGCTGTGATGTAAGGTACTTGCTGTGAGGGCGTAGGAGGGCTCTTACTTTGATAGCTGCAGAGAAACACTATTCCTGCACCCATCCCAGTTACCGCAGTGAGTGAGCCACCGTTTCCCTGCACGGGAGGTGGAATGCTTGCTCAGCAGCTCAGCTTTCTGCTGGAGTCTGTCCTTCCCTGCAACAGAAACACACCCATTTTATCAGTTAAACTTAGGACACCTTTTTTTTTTTCCTGGTAGGTCAAATATCTTTTATTGTTATTATTCAAAAAGATTGTGGCAATTCTACCATATTTATGTTTCCTCATGAATTTTACAGCTGTTTGTCATGTCACCCACCCAAAAAATTCCATGATTTTTATTAAAAATGATTTAAATTTACATGTGAATTTAAAGGAAAAAGTTCCTACATTTTATGTTCCTCAGAATCTCTTGGAAGAACCTGCGTTTTTCCTCCTAAACATAGTCTTAGAGCACATGTTATTGCTATATGAAGACAACATCTTGCACTGTATTCTCTGCTTCTTTCTTTCTTTCTTTATTTTTTGAGATGAAGTTTCGCTCTTGTTACCCAGGCTGGAGTGCAATGGCATGATCTTGGCTCACCACAACCTCCGCCTCCTGGGTTCAGGCAATTCTCCTGCCTCAACCTCCTGGGTAGCTGGGATTACAAGCACGTGCCACCATGCCCAGCTACTTCTTTGTATTTTTAGTAGAGACAGGGTTTCACCATGTTGACCAGGACGGTCTCGATCTCTTGAGCTCTTGATCCACCCGCCTCAGCCTCCCAAAGTGCTGGGATTATAGGCGTGAGCCACCGCGCCCGGCCTCTACTTCTTTATTGATAGAAAAGAGGAATGCTATTGATTTTTTTTCTCCTTATTTTGCTCCTAGTCACCCTCTCACTTTTGGACTCTTTCTACCAGCTTGCACTTCACGCTTTGCTCACCTGCACTCTACCACCTCGTCTTGGAGCTTTACAAAGACAGAGAGGGACCCTGCAGGGAGGAAGCAGAAATTAATCCCTGAATTCCCTTGCTGCTCCGCCTCTGTATTTTTGCTGAAGTTTCCCCACTGACCCAACCCAACCAGAAGCTGGAGGGCATGCGAATATATCCCTGTGGCTCAGAGGGACAGAGAAGGCAGGCCCACATTTGTCTAAGAGGCAGGTGGGAGGATTGTGATCAAAGTGCAAATTCCCTGAATGCCCTTCCAGGCCGTGCCTGCTGCTCTGAGCTTGAAAAGAATGCCAGGGCCAGCCCATCCCCCTTGTCTGGGTTGAGGTCTGTGTCGATAACACGTGAAATGCTTTATGATGAGGTACAGATGAGAAGGCATCTTTCCTTTGTGAGCCCCTAGGATGTCTGAGCTGGAGAAGGCCATGGTGGCCCTCATCGATGTTTTTCACCAGTATTCCGGAAGGGAGGGAGACAAGCACAAGCTGAAGAAATCCGAACTGAAGGAGCTCATCAACAATGAGCTTTCCCATTTCCTAGAGGTGAGTCTTGCTTTTTAAACTTGACACTTTCTCTATCTCCTCTTACAGAGCCACTGTACACTGGCTTTACCTTCTCAGCTGCCCTGAAGCTGATTCCAGTTCTGTTCCAGGACTCCTGGGTTGCTTCTGGAAACTTGTTTGAGTAACAGAACCCTCAATGGGGGACTGGCTCAGATGGGCCCTCGTTTTCATTTCCTTATCAACCGTCTTGTGTACAGCAGGTGCATCAAGGGAAATCCGCTGTCCCAAAGGCAAAAAGTTCCCAAATAATGCTAGACTCATTACTTACATGGGCCAAAGTGAACATAAAAGGAAACTGTTCAAAATAAGCTTTAGGAATGTTTTTAGGAAAGGGATATATTTTTGGCTTTAGCTAGACGTTTATTATTTACTATGGAGATAAAATATGCTAGACTTTCACTCAGTAAACACTGACTAAGCACTAAAAACTGTGAGATATGCAAGCACAACAGATGTGGTTCTGCTCTCGGGCACCCAGCCTGGCACATGGATGGATGACCAGAACTTACTTGACTGAGGGCATGAGAGGGGTCTACACACATCCTTTGCAGAAGGCTCCATGGAGTGACGGATATTGGTGAGGAACTGTCTTTAGTTGGGACCTCTACTTTAGGAACCTGCATGAGGGCTCCTGGGAGCCCTGTTCTTCAGACAGTGCCAGCTCTGGCTTGTGGTAGAACACTTGCATTAAGGACTCATTTTCCTGCCACCATCTCCACTGTCCTTGGATCAGACCCACCTATCTTTACTGCTCACCTCATGTGCCCTCATGGAAGTGAACTGTGATCCACCTGCTGCCTGATGCTCTCTTAGCACCAAGGCTGGCTCAAGGCACACACAGAGCTGGAGTGAAGCACCAGGGGTGTGCACCTTGTGAGATGTGATAAAGGGTTTCCTGGGTCACTGACAGAAGCAATCACAAACGGAAGAAATGACCAGATGATGAGTCAGCACAATAGTGTCTCACCAAGCCCTGATTCCAGGATAAACACAAGGGTAGGGCTTGTTGCATGGGGACGGGAGCTACCCTCCTGAGCTGTCCAAGCCTCTTAGTGCAAGACAGCAAGCCCTGGGTTCCAGCAGCATGACAATCATGTTGTCAGGGCAGGGGACGGGCACTGGCTGGTTTTCCTGTCCGCACTCCCACCAAACACCGCACCACTGCAAATGGGTCAGAGTGGAGGAGACAGGCCTGCAAGCTTTGAGGGGCCATCCCCACATCTGATTCCAGGACTGGCTTTCTCAGGCATTCAAGCCCACAGAGGGACAGCAGCCCCACTCACACATGCAGTTTTCTAGTTCCACCAGTCCTGCCTTCTGACGTGACCTAAAAGTCCCAGGTTCTTCTTCTGAACAAGGGCTGTTATGAGAATGAAATGGATAGTGCTTAAGTGCTTAACATATAGTGAAAGCTCAACTAATAGTAACTACTATCATTATTTTTATACATAGAAAAAGCTTAGCATGTGGGAATCTCTATAAATGATAAATAATTCATGGTAAGCATATCAAGACATCACGAACATTATTGGCCTGGCTTTGTCAAGGTAACTTCAGTTCGGAAGCAGATCTGTAATATAATTGAAGTTAGTGCCCTATTCCTGCGCATCCACAGGTGCCTCCCCACCCCTACCCCCGCAGAGTTACAATCTTATGTATGTTTTGCTTATTTATTTAGTTTTTGAGACGAGGTCTTGCTCGGTCACCCAGGCTAGTGTGCAGTGGTACAATCTTGGCTCACTGCAGCCTCAACCTCCCAGGCTTAAGCAATCCTGAGTAGCTGGGAATATGGGCACAAGGCCCGTGCCCAGCTAATTGTTTTATTTTTTTTCTTTGTAGAGATGGAGTCTCCCTATACTGCCCAGGCTGGTCTCAAACTCCTGGGCTCAAGTGATCCTCCTGCCTCAGCCTCCCAAAGTGCTAGGATTATAGGTGCGAGCCACCATGCCTGACCCCTGTGTGTTTTATATCCAAGGCAGCCATTGTATATTACAACTGACTTCTTCAGGCCAAGCCCTTCAGTCCTGGGGAATTATTACTCTGCATTTGTGCTCTTCATCAGTGGTCAGTGCCCCAATTTTTCCCACCACGTTTGTAGCCCTGTTCTGTGGTTGTTCCTCTGAGGGTTTGTTCATCACTTAATAGGCACACCATTCAATGTCAGGCAGAACCGTCAGGAAAAAGTGTCATGACACCTAGAAAGCAATTCAAGTGGGAAAAAGAATATAGGATTAACAAATGTAGGACATGCTCCCAAGAGTTACTTCAGCAACAGAGAAGACTTTCAAAACATTAAATTCTACTGGAAGCCTTTGAGACAGGAACTTCCATACACAGAACACATGAAAAGTTTAGGAGGGCCATAAGTTTATTTTTATTTCAAGACATTTGCTCAGGCTGATCTAGGCTGCCTTCTTCTTTTAAAAAAAAGTATGGTAACAATCTTCAGTTTTTCACCTCTTGGCTATTGCATTTAGCCTTTTCCAGTAGCCCAAGGCCAGGCACTGACCCCCAGAGACTCTTGCTTGGACAACAGCACCCCTGGTCACACGAGACATCTTTCCTGATATCTTGTATTAGATATTCTTAGGTTATTTTGGACACAAAATATCAGAGTCACTCAACTTTTAATCATGTTTTGATGATCCAAAATTCCATTTAAAAACAAGGTTGGCAACTTCTTTTATCTCTCTTAGGAAATCAAAGAACAGGAGGTTGTGGACAAAGTTATGGAAACTCTGGACAATGATGGAGACGGCGAATGTGACTTCCAGGAATTTATGGCCTTTGTTGCCATGGTTACCACTGCTTGCCACGAGTTCTTTGAACATGAGTGAGATTAGAAAGCAGCCAAGCCGTTCCTGTAACAGAGATGGTCACACAAGAAAGCAGACAGCAAGGGTTTGCAGCCTCTAGGAGCTGCGCTTTCCAGCCGTGTTGTAGCTAATTAGGAAGCTTGATTTGCTTTGTGAATGAAAAATTGAAAACCTCTTTCCAAAGGCTGTTTTAACAGCCTGCATCATTCTTTCTGCTATATTACGCCTGTGTGTAAGCTGACTGGCCCCATGGACTCTTGTTAACAGTCACTTAGGAGTCAGTTGTCAGTGATAAAGCGCACACCGTGTAGCCCGCCATGGCCGTGTAGACCCTACCCTGGAGGGAACCCTGACTACAGAAATTGTCCCGGGGCACCCTGGAGGCTTCCAGTACCTTTAAAAAACAAAGCCTTATCCAACATCATCTGAAAACACTGCTGTTCTTTAAATCTCATCCGCGCAGCTAACACGTGCTTGGCTGGCGTGGCCCTGGTGGCCAGCGTGGCCCTGCCGGGGCGTGGTGACCTCAGCCTGCCTCCCGGGCGAACACCCGGTGCTGGCAGCGCCCTCGGAGAACAAAACTCGATCAGGACTCGGAATCCCGGCCGGTTACGGGGTCCCGGCGCAGCCTCTGCGCCCCACGTGATTCGCGTCGCGCCGCAGGATCCCGGCCTCCAAGGCGCCGACAGCCCGCACGAGGGCACCAGCGGGAACTCTGAGCCGCTGCGACGGCCTGCGTTCAATCAAAGAGCGCGGCCGCAGCGCCACAGCGCCATCGAAAGGGAACGCGGGCACACAACGCGGCCGCCCCCACTGTCCCCGCGAGCGGGAGGCTTCCCCGGGGGCACCGAGCCACGCCACAGCGGACTGCCAGCCCGCTTGGGTCACGTGCTCTTCTCTAAGCCAATCACCAGCCTCGAGTGGTCCAGGGCGGGCGCGTGCCTGCCGCAATGCACGCTGGGCCGCCGGCCTCTTTCCGGGCGTCCTGTGGCCTCGTCCCGGAAGCCGCGCGTCCCTCAGGGCCGCTCTCTGCCTCCTCAGCAGTCGCGGGTGGAACGCAGCCTGTGCCCGGCCGTGCGGGAGGCCCAGAAGCGCACAGTGACGGAGGCCGGGTGGGGCAGAGGCGGGAGCTACCGCAGTGGCGCCCTGGAGGTGCGTGGTCGGAGGGACCCGCGAGCGGGGCGGGGAGCCCGGTGAGGCCGCCGCAGATTCCGAGGCTGGTCCTGGCGCGTGCTGCGGGCGGGGGAGCAGGAAGCCACGCTCGGGAGGCCCAGGGCGCGACCGCGAGTTGGGCGGCAGGAGGGGCGGTGCTGCCCTTGGCACAGGTCTGCGCCCCCCACCGGCATTCCTCCCCGAAGGGTGCCCTGCCGCCTCGGCGGGAAGTTAAAGGAGTCCTCCCAGAGCCTCCTCTGCCCACATGGATCCAAGAATCCCACGGTGACTCAGTCCCCAGACGCCTGCTGTGCTTCCAGACCAGACAGGGAGAACACTGGCCCTCCAAGGAGCCAGGCTCCAGCCCCGTTCCTCAGGGACTCCCAGGGCAGCTCCTGAGCACATGGGGGCTCCTCCGCCATTCAGAGCGAGTCTGGGGGTCTCCAGTCAGCTGCCGTTAGCTCCAGGTTGTAAATGCCATCTGTCTTCCCCTGGCCATCCCTAGCTGGGTGTGGCCCACCCTCACCCAGAGGCACCTTCCAGTTCCATGAGTGGGTGGTGGTAACCCCAACAGCCTGCTGGGCAGCACAGCCCTGGCCTACCCCAAAGGCTGCTTCCGGCATCCCCAGGTGGACAGGGGATGGTCCCGGGCAAGGGGGTGGGGGAAACCCGCCCCCAGATTTGACCAGGAACGCATGGAGGTCACTTAGGCCTGGAGGGCAGGACCAGGTGTGAGAAGGCTATTTTCATAACTTGTTGCCCAGGCTGCCATTTCCATGGCCCAGTTCAGCCACACAGAATTTTCTGTGCTCCATCAGCTTGTCTGTTTAATTCACAAGATTTAGGCCAGTCACCTCACAAATCTGTCCCTGCAGTGTTGGTCTCTCAGGTTGGAGACCCTGGGGCCAAGCCAAAGACCCCATTTGTTGACTTGCAGTGAGAACGTGCTGTTGAGAATTTGGGCTGCAAGAACCCATCCTCTCTGGACCCCATGGACCATCCTCTAAAGGTGCTCCTCTCTCTGCCAGAAGTACAAGCAACACAATTGCCAGACTTTCCTGCCACCAAGAGGAGGAATAATCATCTAATAACTGGATTGCAGGGGGTAAGGCCTTGGGCCCCCAGGCGGTATCTGACCATACCCCATCTGTACCCACCAGCAGGGACAGAGACAGCAGGAAGGCTATTGGGCTCCCAAGCCCTGGGGTATGTTCCCTCCTGACCCCATGTCTCTGCCTGGGGAAATGGAGCAGTGAGGAGGGAATTGAAGAGTGGGTGATCCTGGGCTCCCCTAGCCCTCTGTCAAGCTCTGGCTGTCTCTTGCCCACTCTCCCAGATGCCCACCTCTGAGGGACCCCGGGCCTGTTCAGCGAGACCCTGCTCCTTTTGCAACCAGCAGAGGAATCAGATTTCCCCCAAGCTGGCTGGGGCCCTACTTAGGTATCTCAACTGTGGGCAGTTTGTCTCCACAGCATGACACCCTGTGAACCCCATGAGCCCATTGCTGTTACTGCAGCTCTGTCCTGTGAGGCCCCATCCTGGTCTCCAAGGCAAAACAGGGACGCTTGAGCCCACAAGCCCCCAGCCAAGACCCTGAAGAGGGTTTGGCAACTCTTCTTAGGAAGTTGTGGGAGACACCTGGGTTTGTTTGCTTCTGTTCCAGGGTTCTCAAATTAGGGATTTCACCCTTATCTTTTGCAGACAAAATCAGATTATTCTAACTGCAGATAGATGGAAGTGTTTGGGCATCAGAGGAAGGTTCCACTGACCCTTCATCCAGTGGGACCTTCTACACACAGATACTACTTTCTGCCCACAGTGGAGACACCCAAGTAGGCTGCACTAGCCCTGTCCTGCAAGAGCCCAGATATTGCCTGGCGCTATTTCTTTGCTAAGAATTGGGCTGCCTTGGGGAGCAGGTAGGCGAGGACAAGGGCTACCTGGCCCCTCCATCTTGAGGCATCCTTAACTATGACCCTCACAGCCATGTCCACCCACAGCCTGGTAGGCAAGACTCTGGTGCAACCTCCTTTCACTGCATTTAGGGAGAAAAGGGAAGGCCTCTCTCTCTGAAGGAGTGCAGAAAATACACATTATTCAAGCCGGTTAGCATGAGGCAAGCCTGGAGCTTTCATATAGGGCTGGATGTTGAGCAGAGAGCTGAGGATGAGGCTGGCACTCTCCTCAGGAAAATAATCCAAAGCCCCCAGGATCTAAACCTTGCAGGAAGGAGGCCATACTTGGCTGGACTAGATGGAGCTTTTCTGATGTCTTCTTGCACCAGCACCCCTAATTAAAATACGGATCCCTGAAATGCATCTCAGGAGTTTGAGAGGCCACTCTTGAACTTTTCCTGTTCTGTGAGGGGGTGGGGGACACTACAGAGGATGTACTGGGTCCCATGGCCCCCTACAGCTCACTGTACAAAACTCTGCTGGAATCTTGCTACATATCCCAAGGACCAGGCCCCCCAGGTCTGAAGTGGGGCCATGACTCCCTGGGGTTTTTAGCTGTGAGACTGATCAAACAAGAACTCAGGTGATTTTTATCCTCAGGGAAGTTAGTAACACCAGGTTAGCAAGATAGCACTGTCTGCCTAGATTATACCTCAAGAGGAATTGTGACCACCCTCCCAGTGTACCAGGCCCCTCACTCGAGAGTTTACTCTGCAAGGCACAGAGTGGAAAAGGCCTCAGCTTCTCTAATACCTGAGGATCCCTGAGCAGGGACATCACTCTCTTTGCCCAGGCCCACAGCAGCCAGGCCCTTCTGGACTACAGTCTCCTCATTCAACAAAATAGGAGTGTTGGATGGTGTGCACATAGTGCACTAAAGTGCACCCCACCCTCTCCTCCTAGTCTTCATATCTTGTGAAATCTCCAGCCCCTGGGTGCTCCTGATCTCGGTTGGGGGAAGCATCCATTAAGTATCCATTGAGTATGTTAACTGTGGGATTTTTGTAGATGTCCTTTATCAGGTAAATTTCCCTTATATTCTTAGGGTTTTGGATTTTTTAAAAGCTTTTTCTGAGTTTATTGAGGTTGATACAGGATTTTTTTTCTTGCTGCTTTACCAGCTGGAAGCTTCTTTGGCCGGCAGGACCTCTGCTCATTTGTTCCCATCACCCCACTCTGGCCCATGGCTCCCAGCTTGCCTGGCCCCACCAACACTTCCCATCATGTGGGCCACCTGGCACCAGGGGAGAGCTAGTATTACAGCTTCTTTTGTACCCACTGTTCAGTGGGTCCCAATTCTTGTCCCACATCCAAGAAGAATGAGGTTATGCAGACAACCAGAGAGTGAGCAGGGCAGAGAGTTTTATTGAGTGACAAAACAGCTCTCAGCAGAGAGGGGGACAGGAGTTGGGTGCACTACCCTTATCCAGTCAGGCAGTCCCCCAAGTGTGGCTGAATCTGGGGCTTTTATGGGCTCAGAATGGGGGAGTGCATGCTGATTGGTTTGAAAATATGTAAAAAAAAAAAAAAAAGGGCTAAAACAAAGGCACCACTCAAAAGTGGAACACAACAATGTTAAAAAACAATTAGGGAAAGGTAGGCATATTTAAAATAGGTGAAGAGTGGGGATCAATCCCAGGAAAGCATGCCAAATGGGGAGAGAGGTTCTCAGTCTGGTCCATAGATTTATCCGACACTTGTAGCTTGGCATTCAGGCTTTAAACTGTCTTTGCTTTGAAGGTTATGTTTCACCAGGGAGCTTCCCTTATCTGCCTAGGGATTTGTCTGCCTCCTGTTACTATGAGTTTTCCCATCCGCAGAGGTACATCTACTGCTGTTAGAATAAGGACAACAGGCCAGGTGCGGTGGCTTACACCTGTAATTCCAACACTTTGGGAGGCCAAGTTGGGTGGATCACCTGGGGTCAGGAGTTTGAAACCAACCTGGCCAACATGGTAAAACCCTGTCTCTATAGAAATACAAAAGTTAGCCAGGCATGGTGGTGGGTGCCTGTAATCCCAGCTACTTGGGAGGCTGAGGCAGGAGAATCACTTGAATCCAGGAGGCAGAGGTTACAGTGAGCTGATATCACACCATTGCACTCCAGCCTGGGTGACAAAAGTGAAACTCTGTATCAAAAATAAATACAAAAAAAAAAAAAAATTAAAAAATAAGGACAACGACTGCTCTTAACTGCTTCATGTTGACGGGGTGCTGTTTTGGAAAAATGGCAGTCATATCTCTCTCAGAGGCCTATCTAAGTGTCCCCAGTAAAAGGGAGCCATGGTCCAAGGCTCCATTTGCATGACCCTGTGGAATTTGATG